GTTGGCTGCAAAAGGGACATAGTATTTTTAACGCCTATTATACCCTTATTAAGCATTTTAAGATTAGAACACATTATAATAAATAAGGAGGGGGAACCTGCCCCCTCCCGCTCCAATTAAACCCTTATTAAATCCTTATTGAATTAAACTCCGACACAGTGGATCCCATTATGAATAATATTGAATCAATTAACTATGACTGCACAACTAGAATAAGATAGTAAGAAGGGGGATATATTTGTCTACATCGCCATTGATAACTTTATCGTAAGTTTACGTTGTGTGATGATAATTTGGCTAAGCTGAAAGAATAATATCTTAAACCCGTTGCAATATGATGCGTTATTTCGTGAACGTTATTACTAACGCTATTCAGACGCGTGATATGCACAAGTAATTCAACTAAATATTGGAACTGTTCATTGTGCATTAACTTCTTTACGGCAGGAGTCTCACAAAGCTCTTCAAAACCGCAACAGTCGCTGAGGCAACCATGCGTCAACAAATGACGCATCATGGACAACGGGCATTACATACAATTTACGAACAAACTAAATTTGCGTCTCTCTGCAATGTGTCAAAGACTAACGTTTGGGACTCTTGCGCTATAAATAGCACACTGCGAAAAGGTCGGGCAATATTTTCCCAACACTTTGCCCAACGCTGTGCCAATAGTCAACCCAACCATCTATTGGGCAATATTTGCCCAGTCACCCCAGTGGTATTGGTAAACGTAAGTACCCTACTCCACGTTTGCATAATTGTTTCGTATTTAGTCGATAAAGTGGGCAAGATATGACCCTTCAACTGCCCGACTACGGTAGCCCACTTGTTGGGAAAATCCTGACCAGCTGTTGGGTAAAATACGAAACAATTATACACGTACTTACGTTTACCAATACCACTGGGCAAAATATTGCCCAATAGATGGTTGGGTTAACTATTGGCACAACATTGGGCAAAGTGTAAGAAAATATTGCCCAACCTTTTCACAGTGCAGTTGTCTTTCCCTTTTCACGATTGGAGATCGCGCTCGGCGTACACGACCTGGTACTCATCCTCGAACTTGCAGCACTGCTCACACGAGAGCAACTCCTCGACGACCAGTTCGTTTCGAGACTGTCGTCATCGCCGAAGATGCTTCCGTCTAGATCGTTCAGGCCTTCTTCGTCGAACGCGCTGACAGGTGTATTTGAGGGCGGGACGGTGGGTCGCGGAAAGGAGACGTGGACGGTCAGGACTGGAGCATTGCTCGGGTCCATGTCAGTCATGAGTGATGTCTCACGTGTGACATTCGAGGACCTACGCATCGACAGCTTCACAAAAGGTCGTTGGTCGTCTCCGTATCCGGTCGAGTCGTAATCTTCCGTTGCACTAGGAATGTATATAGGATCAGGGTATTGCGGTTGGCGGGTCCTCCGTCCGGGACATGAAGATGTGGCCCTTGATGTTGCAACTGCGGAACCCCTCGGTGAAAGACGAGTCTGCAGAGAGACGCTTCGTGAACTGATCGAGTCTATACTACTCTGAGGAGAAGACCGGCCCCCATAGTCTGGAAGATTTAGAAGCTGTATGCTTAAGTGCCTGTCATTGTTACTAGGGGCGAGTCTTAAAGATTGCCTGTCGATGTCTTGATTCCCAGAGGTATGGCTGTAACGGGATACTGCGCTTTGAGAACGGTCTTTGGTAGAACGCATTTGAGCACTGAGAGCGTTGAGTCTGTGTTTGTATTCCTTAATGGCTTTTTGTGCTTTGACTTCTTTCTCAGCTAATTCTTCTTCTCTAAGCGCTCTTGGTTCTAGGACATTACTCGGGACAAGAGTCGCATGCGGAACCCGTCTTTTGGCTGCCCGTGGTCGCCGCCTGTTTGTGCTATTCGAGATTTGATGTTCGTTCATGAACTTCAGAATGTCTTTCATATCTAGTCTATCTGGATCACCAAAGGCAGCTTGTTCACGTCTCAAGTCGGCTTTGATTTTGTCGATTGCCTGTTTTTCTTGGTGAAGTTTCAGATCGAGTTCACCAGGTGTGGGCTTAGACATCGTCCTCATGAATCCGGTCCTCACGTCTGTCATAGGACGCTGTGACGTACCAACTGCCAAAGATCTACTGCAGTTCCGCACCCTTTGCGCAATTGGTGTCCTAGACTGGAAGCAATCAACAGGAGGCACGGGTCTTCCAAAGGCATACGATTTACCACTATGGGACGCCCTCACCTCGCCCTGACCTGAAATACTGTCCTTTGACTGTAGATCATCTATCAGAGGAGCAGGTGCAGAGACTTTTGCCATCGGTCGTTTGACGGTGAGGACGGGAATGTAACGCTCTGGGTTGGTGCCGGGTAGATTGACAGTGTGACCATGTACAGCTGAAGAGACATTCCTCGTTGTGGTTCTGTTTAGCATGCTGTTGTTGGCGGAACTATTAACCGGGAGACCTGAGACGTTGATGGCTGCATCTCTGGGGTAGTCAGAAGATAGCAAGCCGTCATATCAGTATTCTGGAGTTGGGATATAAAAGAGAAGAGAAAAAGAATGGTATGTTAAATTAAAAGGCTAACATCATGGAAATATAGTGTGGTGATATTCATCTCTTGAAATACAGGGGGTAGGAAACAATTACACGGAAATTCAAGGTATTCCGACAGCAGTAAAAGGCTGATCCAAAAGTCCCTTTGTTACTCCTACCTTTATCTCCGTAAAAATACACACGTTCAGGTTCTACATGCGGGCAAGTCCAAGTCCTTACCGACAACATCAAGGATGTTAGTGTCTCTGGGAGTTTTTTAAACACTGGTTTAGTTGAATTTAATTTAATTGAATATATTTACCACTTTCATTTTTAAAAAAACATGCAAAGTCAAATAATGCAACAAAAGATTTCTTATAAATATGGAAAAGACCATGAAATGGAAAATACACAAAGAAAAATACAAAGTGGTTGGATCATCAAAAGGTTACAGAAACTTATACGTAGATATTCCGACACAAAATACAAAACCTATTAAACACAAAGAAGAAACAAAGAAATAATACAATCGTTATTATACACATAAAAAGGGCAGTTGTCGTACGGTATTCAAAGCTTCTGCATCAGAAGGAGTTTTAGATTGTGCTTACAATTGTTTAATGATGCTTACTGTTTAGATTTTGGGAATAATTTGTTCTAGACAGTAGGTCCTTTGCATGAAAATATATAATTTGAAAAGGAAAATGACCATAGTATTAGACGAGTGTCTGCTGAGGTCCTGCTATTTTTTTATGAATATCTGTGTAGCTCTTAAAGATATTACAAACTATTCTAATAACATTTAAGGATAATATAAATACCTTTAAAACACGGTTGAAAACTAGGTAATAATGACATTAGGAGAATATTTAATATCAGGAATAAAGGTCTGGTAGGACTTACATATGGTTTATGGCGAATTATACGAACTGCTCTATTTTGTAAGAGGAATATAATACAAAATAAAATGATGTCTACAAATCCCATAGACGTTGTGATTTCCACTTCATATCTTTATCAATATCAATACCTAATGACTTTTTTGTATTTGTATGTTTAATCGCATTTCCATTCATATATAGTTTTACATTGATTTGATTTGATTGAGTTGATTGCCCGTCCATACTGGTCGAAGAACAAAAGAAATATCGACGATAATTCAATGTAAATTATGTTCAGTTTTTCACTCTATTTAAAGATTTGGGGTATTAAAAATGGAAAATACACACACAATCACTTTGACCAGGCCTAGATTATCATTTGCAAATGTTTAATACCGAGGAACACGTCAATACAATGACCTAACTTTAGACATTAAATTGTCAAATAACTTGAGCACTCTTTGCGAACTTCATATGAACTCTGTTTTGCTTTCATCTTTAAAAGAATGTGGCTGTTTTGAAAATGAAGTTGAGAGGGGAGGATGGGACGGAGTAATTGCAGTTCTATATCTGTTTTGTGTTCTATATAGATGTCCTCAATTTTAAAACTGAAATTATAACAGCTTTATTATTTTGTATGTAAGTTCACCTTTCATTTAATTATCTAGACCCCAAGAAAAACAGGTTTGTCATGTTAACAATGTTGAGTGGACTATCCAGCCATTCACTATATTTTTAAAAATTTTATATCTACTTTTTTTTATTATGTATGTAGTGTTTTATTTGTGATTTGAAAAATAATACCATACCATATCACGCATACCTGCTCCAGAATTGTATGAAGCCGAGTACTGCTCTTTAATGATTATATTCCACTCAGTAATACCTATAATTTGAAACTCTCTTACCTTTTCTTCACTTAACAAAGATAATGTGTATTGTGCAATGTCGATAGAAACATGAAATCTCCTAAACGTTTCATCATCACATGATTCCTTTCTTTTGATATAATTGTGCAACCATTCTAGCTCCTCGTAAGTTCAGGCCTTCGCCTATCGAAGAGTTCAGACGTGCAGACCAGCATGGATCCCAAAGAAACAATATAAAAAAAGCGGCAAGTTTCCGTATGTTGCAGACCTCATACGATTTCCAAGAAAGTTGTACCGAGTAAATCACAAAAGAATGAAACGTCCAATAGCAACTTCAAATCCGCTGTCTGATCTTTTTACACCATGTATACAAATGAGTTATTCAATAAACACGGACTTCCATCAGGTACATCACACGTCCCTTACAAAGGGGACATCAGTCTTACTTCAAGATGAGTAAATACCTTGAATAATATAGTTCATTGCACCAAAAGTCCAAATGGTAATCCACAAAGACGTTATTCAATAAGCACCAGCTTCCACTATATGTATACACCGCAATTTCCTCACAAAAGGGATGAATAAATACCTCAAAATGGCGTGTATATTGCACTAAAGGTCCGAATGGTAATCCACAACGACGTTACCAGACTGCTTTTATCGAGATTAATCGACACTAACGAGGTATTTATCCAGATATAAAGCAGAACATTCACACAAGACCACATTTGATGCCTGAATACAAATTGCCCTCGATCTTCTTTATTACACGCATACAGACTGGACATAATATATACTAAATACTCCAATGTTTTTATTTAGGTTCTATTATATAGCATGCTGTAATCCTTGGTACTCTAAGAATGCGAAGAGAAGATTTCAAGTGCAATTTAAGAGCACTTCAACGAGCCCGAATCTTTTAATCTTTGATCTCTTCCCCGGTCAAAACAATCAGTGATATTGCCATGCTTATATAGGGCGCTATATTTGCACTGGGATAGCCTATAAACTAGTATAGAGGGTTAAAGTGGCTGATTAAATTATCGAGTGGTTTACGGTCTGGGGGACAATATAACGAACTACAGGCCCGTCATAAAAGGAGAGGGACATTCAATAAAGTAGTATTCTTATTTTAAAGTGTTTTAAAGTGCTTTTTCTTGTTAAGACGGCATTATGTGATGACGTTCTAAAAGTAACTCTATTGAGCCTTATATGGAAGCATGCAGGTGTTTGTGCTGGATGTTATTATCGTAGTTTTGTCGTCACATTAATTTTCATATATTGAGGAGGCGCGATAGCTCAGTCGGTAGAGCAGTGGCTCGTAATCCGGTGACCCGGGTTCGAAACCAAGTCGATGCGCTATAGGCATTAATCCTCATTACCAGGTCCCTCGGAGAGGACCTAAAGCCGTTGGTCGTCTGGTTGCTTACTTACAAGCATTTATGCTTTCTTAGCAGGTAAAATAACCAGAACTACAACCACATTGATATAGATATTAGGGGACTATTAAATACAAATGGCTCTTTTCAAATCTCGTGGAAAAAAACATATTGCGAAAATAAAGAATAGAATAATAGTTGAGGTAGCCTACACCTATCCTTTTTTTAAATATTTGCCTTACATTTAAAAAGGGACAACTGCAATGGAGAACTTTGATTAATTCCGATAAACATACGGTAATCTCTGGCATGTCAAACGATTTTTACAACAAATCAAAACTGGGATTTTTTTGTTCATGTACAGGTAATTAATTGGAAGTATTTGCAATAAAGCTCATCTTAAAAAAGCGACATTGAAGCGCGCTTGTGTCTTTCGCTTCCGCCTATACATTGTCCAAGTTAGGCTATTATTAGTCCCGCGGAGAGGACTTTAAGCCGTCGGTCCACTGGTTGCTTACTTACAAGCATACACATGCTTTCTTAGCAGTCAGGTAAAACAAAACAAACAAACAAACACAATTCTTGCGTTTGACTCCAACGAGGACAAGACAGAAAGCTTTAGTATGTCTGTTTCCACTGCTTTTTTTTCCTCGATTTTACAGTACCAATCATCTCGTCAAAATACTTTGTTTTTATTGTTCCTTTTCTAATGTAATCATTCATTCCTATCATTGTATTTTCAATGGAATATCTTTACCACACCAGGAAAAATATGACGAGATTATATTACTATAACTATGAAAATATTTATGTTATGATATATGCTGTGATTACGATCCTCTCTAGATTCTACAGCATTGTTTATTATAATGTCAAGGCCGTAGAAGGGTCAATAAAAATGTGTTATTAATCGAAATTGAAGACTAGCAGGTGATATAACTGTGATCATGCAAACTCTTTTCTCTTCTCCTCCTACCGAAAATCGATGAGGTCAACCATAGGTTGTGAAAATCGAGATATTTGTGCATCGAAGTTGTCTGATTAATCTGATCGCACGCCAAGCCTTCATGTTTGGTGTGATAGGCCAGATGATTAATTCATATGCAGAGTCAATTATTTAACTTATACCTCGTCTCAATATTACACATGCAGGAGACGAATCGCATTACGATTATTTTTCATGATTTTATAGTCAATTTTATTATTAGTCAATTTTATTGTAAATTATTACAGTTAACAACTAAAACATTCATAACCTTTATTGATTTATGTGTGTATGTGTGCATGTGGTGTTGATGTTGATCTGCTTTGCTATATATTGTCTGCTGAATGCTAGCAAAGGACTGGGTTTTTTTTGCTCAAGAAAATAATGTAGTATAAATTATGTCACGCGCCCGATTACACCAAATCATTCAGGTTTTATTTGGTTTCTAAAGCAATGGCCATGGTCATAGAGTAGAGTGACGTCACAATACCAAAAGGAGCAGGTGATTTCAAGCATAACAAGAATCGCTCATTTCATATTGACTGACGAAAAGGCCGTGATACTTCTAGGCAGCATATTTGGCAATTTTAGGCAAGGTTTTTTTTTCAGGGTGCTGAGGAAGTTTTTTCTTCTCAACATTAATTTGTGCAATGTATACCTGGGGGATATTTACGCAACACTTTTTGACATAGTTCAAATATGACAGCACTTTTGTGCAGAGTTAACCATTCAGAAATATACCCTTTTGTAATTTCGTTACACGTACATGGTTCGTTTAGAAATGAGATGGCTCGCAAATATGTTATACCATTATCTCTATGTACTGCATGATAAATCAGTCGGAATAACGATTAACTATTTTAGTTTGAATTCCTGTC